CCTACAGGAATATTTGTGTGTACACCATGAAGTCCGCTGTCTGAATTTACATAAGTCACACAGAGCACCACAAAGGTCAGATCAGCTTCTATACCTGAGTGTTTACCTGCCCACAGGTGCCACCACCAGCTCTCTTCTTCCAACATGTAATTTGATGCTGTTACAATCTATAGACGAGACAAGGTGGTGCCATCATCTCTTACCTTCTCTTTCTCTGGAAACAACTGAGAATGGCATTGATGACTGTGCATTAACCTGTGAACTTTCTCCACTGCCTGTCCTCTGTAGTTTGTTTTCCTCGTTACACAAGCGTCACTCTGCTCAGACATCGGATCCTCCCTGCCGCTGCCTCACGTCCCCTCACCCCGGCTGACTTTCTCCTCCAGATTCCCATTTTCTGCTCCCCAGATAGATCTACAAATAACTATGATCCATAACCCACGACATTCAGTTTGCAATGATATAAAAAGCAGGAAATCCAGATCCCCGTGAAGAGCTGATGCTTTTTTGCTTTTAAATGCTATTTTTGACAAACACAGCTCCTTTTTAAAAACTGTGAACTACATGCACCTTCTGGATGTGTGTGCTCTATCTCACTTGCACAGTGTGCTCGTTGGGTTAAAACTGTAAAGCCAGGAGCCACCAGGCAGCCAACGCTCCTGGGTGTCCTCCGACACAACATGCGTGTGTGTCTTACTGTGCGGCCGCTTGGCGTGAGGGCTCCATTGCTGAGGTAGGGACTGCAGAGGTTCCCGAGGTCCGGGATCATGAAGAAGGGATATCCAACATATGGGGAAGGTTGGAATAGACCTCCATCCTGCCGCCTCCTCAGTGCTGAGAAACATTTAAAGGGTGATTCCAACTGGTTTTCCACAGAAACATCAGCCCACTCAGAAGTCTACCAATATATTCTAGTTGAGAGTTCAAGAAAAACAACTAGCAAATGTTCATATTTCAGAAACAAAAACAAGAAAATATTTGGCATTTTTGTCTAAGATGAATGAAAATCAATGAATTATCAAACTAGCTAAGGAGTCTTTTTTGTTGACCAGTTAATCATCTGGATGTTTGGGGCTGTACTTTTCGTTTCTCAACAATCATAAACATTGTAATCTGCCCCAACTTGTAAACACAACTGTGTAGATGAAAACCATGAAGCTTTACTCAAGTATAAATCCAGTCTAATGACAGACTTGACCTCTCAATGAGCAGGTTTACTGTCTGCCACGCATGAATGAGACAAACGTTAGGAGGGTTCCTAGGGCTAAGCTACAAGTGTTGATACCTTCTTCAAACAGCTGGCTGTGCTTGGCCCTGCTCTCCACATCTGGGTCGGGCTTGGGGCGTCTGTCTGCCTGCACACAAACATCAACAAAGCCAGAGCATCGTGGAGCCTGTGTGGAGAGGAAACACAAACAGGCTCCGCTGCTGACAACACCGTGGAGAAAAGTTGACTTCCAACCGGCCCCGTTCACTAAACTCACCTCCGAGTCCGAGCCGCTGTTGGTCTCAGACTCGTTGACCAGCGAGGACTTGACATCGTCCAGGTCCCGTTCAGAAGACACATTCCTCTTCTCCTCCTGCTCCCCCTCGTCTTTGAACGCAATCAGTTCATCGTTTGCTCCCAAGTCGTCTCCGTCTGCGCCGTTTAGCTGCGGCATGTTGGACGTTAGCTTCACTAGCTAACGTGAAATGTTCTTAAACTTAGTTTGTAAAAACAACCTACAAGACTAGAAAACCTTTAGGAAAGTATTGGGCTGGCGTTAGCGGTGTGCTAAAGGCACCAGAGCCGGTGTTAACGTTAAGCTGAGTGATGTTTTTGTCTTTTATAACGGTAAAAAAACAAAAACCATATCTAGCTAACAAGCTCGCTAGCTACTTGCTGCGTTCACGGACGTTTTAGTTTCTGGCGTCGAATTCCTGAAGTGTGGAAATCCTCCTTGAGCTTGTCTCCACCGAGAAAAGTCCAAGAAATGCAGTGCACTGACAAGAAAAACTCAAAATGATCATAAAATGATAAGAAGAATCAATCACAACCAACGGATTAGTGCTGACATTATAAAACCGAGCACAGTCCGATCAACTGAAAAGTTTACGTCCCCTTCACTGCTCTCACACCGGTGGAAAAAGTAAAGGCGTCTTTTTAAGTAAATCCCAACATCGTTAGTCGAGTTTGGTAAATGCATTATCCTCACAAACGGCGTTTTCAGAACGGAAGTTTCCGCATATCGCAGTCTTTGCTAATTCAAGAGGTTTTCTGGAGGCGTGGGAACCAGACGGGCTGGTCGGCGTTGCTGAAGTGAGTGTAAGGAAAAGACCGTGGGGCTGAGTGGGGAGGACTCGGGGTCTGCGCTGACCTCGGATCAGTTTAGCGGGCGGCAGCAGACGGTGGGTGAGTCGGCAGAACCGATCCTGGACCAGACACAACAGGTTGATCCCGTTTGTTTGCAGAGGAGGCACAAAGAGGAGCGAAGGAGGAGTTTAGGTGGAAGAAAGGGGCATTTTTTAGACCTTAAAGGAGCAGTTGGACACGTGACCCGAGGAGGAAAAAAAATCACTTTATCAAACTGTTGAATGTGAAAATTTGGACTTAAAAATACTTTAATTATACTCATAAACTTAATAACAAAATTGACTTAAAATAGTCAAAGAGCTGCAGTAACACTCCCTCCCATAATAATAATATTAATAATAATAGAGCTAAAAGTAATAAAAGTAGACTATTAGCAAATATACTTGAAATATAAAAAGTAGTCTGTCTGCATAGTGGCCCATTTCACCATATTGTACTGTCTATACTACTGGATCCTAGTGACTGGTGCATGGCTGTGTCCATCAAGGTGGAGCTGATGGTAACTATTCATCTGATTCTGAGAAGGAACTGAAGTTATTGGAGTTTAGCTACATCAGCTGAAGCAGTAATTAAGAACACAGAGGCTTCGTTTATTGTTTGCATGTGAGCATTTGATAGGATGTTACACTACTTTGTTTTTTATCATTTATCAGGGCTGCAAGCAAACAGCAATAAATCAGACTGATTTTATTTATTATCACTTATGTTGTGTGACTCTGCACGTGGGATTTGTTGACAAGAGGACAAATAGGTACTATTAGTGTCAGAGCTGTTCTTTAAAAACCTGACGATACATTTAGTGTCAGAGCTGTTCTTTAAAAACCTGACGATACATTTAGTGTCAGAGCTGTTCTTTAAAAACCTGACGATACATTTAGTGTCAGAGCTGTTCTTTAAAAACCTGACGATACATTTCCTGTGAAAAATTAATACATTCTCTGTTGAAAAACTGTAATGTGTCATATACGATGTATGTACTTTTTCATTTGTCCACAGAGAAACACACTTGAACAAGCACACTACTGCCCCCGTCACAGCTCAGTAGCGGCTCCCCTGTGGAGAGTAACCTGGTGACAATTAGGATCCACTCCCTCTGAGTCTTTCTTTGTTGTCTTCTCGGGGTTGTTCTGCACCAAGGTGCTCTCACACAGACTTTCACTCTGTGAATAAACTCAGCCCCTTTCATTCATTTGAAAGAGGGAGTGTGTTACCACTGTGGGGGCCCACATAAGGGGCCCGATGCAGCGTTGTGCAAAAAAAAAAAAAAAATTCTGGTTTAAGACTTCTAAGGTCTGTTGGAGGCTCCTGGAGGTTGGCTCATTCTTTATGGATGTAAACAAGAGAATGTTGTCCTGTTGACTGTCCATACTGTAAATCCATTATATTGATTTATTCTGTGCATCTGTTTCCTGTGTGTTCATCCAGGAAGATGGATCCCTCCTCTTCCTGAGGTTTCTTCCAATGAAATGTTTTTTTGTGGAGTTTTTCCTGATCTGCTCTGAGGGTCTAAGGACTGACGATGCCATATGCTGTTCAGATTGTAAAACCCCTTGAGGCAAATATTTGATTTGTGGTATTGAACGACAGAAATAAAGCTCGACTGCTCTGGTGTCCAAGTCCAGAACGTTGTACTTCTGTCACCCTGTGCAACCTGCAAACAGCAGCACTTATTTCATGTAGAAACACAATATAATCCAGACACAATAACATTTTTTAAAACAACAACATCATTTGACCTGTGAATTTCCATTACTTTCTCTGCTGTCTGCTTCTCTACAGCTGCCACATTTTCATCCCTGCACTTGCACCTTCTTTGAGTTTCCTCCATTAAACACACCAAGCATACACTTGACTTCCTTGGAAACAAAAGAGGGATTTCCTTCTCACTGACAAGCTCTCAGACCTCAACACACACCCTCCAACGTACGCTGTAAAAGCACAGACACACAGGGTCATGTTAAACTGCAGACCCTGCAGCTGAGGTCATCTGCACATCCTACAGTAGGAGGCAGATTTGGGGCTTACGACTGAGCAGAGGTATGCAGCCCCGTCCCTCCTCCCCTGGCCCTGCATAGCTGTGGGGGAGAGGTTCTTCACAGTCTGGGCCGGAGCCAAACACAGTAATCCCCTCCTGCTGATATACACAGCTGCTGGTGTGTGTGTGTGCACTGCTAGCCTATGAGGACTGTGTCAGTGTCTAGCCACAGTTTGTGTTGTTTTTTTTAAATTTATTCCCCTCCGGCTGAACGGCCATAGCTCAGTCTGCCTGCCAGGGCTGAAGAGGCCTGTCAGGAATGTGATGGATCCTGTAGCTCCATCACAGCGAACCATTACAGACCAGGCTGAACCCTCCAGTAACAAATCCACCGTGAACACGTGCAGGTTTCAGGTCTGTAACCCCCTTTTTCCTGCTCGTAATGCTGGAAAAGAAACCGGAGACCTGGGCGTATTCCTGACTCCAGATGTGCTCATTCTCTCTCTCACTCATTTTTTAGTCTGCCGCTGACAGGAGCACAAAGAACATGAAGAAAATCCCAAGGCCGTCTTATAAACATACAGTATATATATTAAACAAATGAAATTGGATGAAGCTCATAGTGAAAAGAAATTAACGTGTATTGTTTTACACAATCAAAATTCACCTGTCTGCAGAACAAACACGTCTTTTATTTAAGGAAAAATCAGTTTCAACAAAAATAAAGTTAAAAATCAGTCTTCTATTCATAGGTTTGAAGAAAAGCTCTCTTAAATGATAAATCAGGCATGTGAAACCTGGAAACCCTCAGGTAAGGCCATATTATTCTGTCATAGAGCAACTGTTAAGCCTGCAGCTAGAAGTTCTTTTCCATATCGCCTGACAGATATCTTTAATCATTTATTGCTCAGTGTATAAAATGCCAGAAAATGCCCACCACTATTCCCTAAGGCTCAAGGTAACATGTTGCTATTCTGTCTAACCAACAGTAAAAAAAAAACTCCAAAACACTGAGTTTAAAAACAACATTTGGATTTGAGAAGCTGAAACCAGAAAGATTTGTTGGTTTCTGGGTGCATGAGGAAATAATAAAACTGCCAGGCGCAGTGGGGGGGTCAACAGGCCCCCACAACAAACATTCACCCCACAGGGCACTAATTTAATCATGCAGGTAAAATAACTATGTACAATAACAGGATCAGGAAGTCAGAAAGCACTGAGAAGAGCAGCACTCTGCTGGCTTTGGGCTTTCTAAGGGATCTGCTGAGAATAAGAAAATTATATAATCACCTGCCGAATCTCTTAAGGCAGCAAGAAGCAGATGTCTGCGCATTAAAATGTGTCTTTGTCTACAAGCTCTCTGCTAAATTAGAAAGCGTCTCCATCAGTTTTTGTAGTTTTGTATGCTCTATTTAACAGGGGGTGTTCTGACTTGTGTATTGTATCTATGAAAGTGAAATGGCTCAGCATTGAGGTCATCGACAGCTGCAGTGACATTACTGCTGGGGGAAGACAGCTGCTGCACCTGGAGCTCCGCATGAACATCTTCCAGATGTCCACTCAGTACCTGTAACAGAGAGTGAGCACATTTATAGGGTTATAGATCCTCCAACTGCATCACCAGACAAGGAAGTTGATACCAGGCCTTTAAGAAAAAGCCTGGATTCACTTCAGTGATGACATTTACAGTAAAACGCTCTTTCTGTATTATTAGGGCCATGAAAGCCACATTACGGTCAGAGTTGGGGAAATATTGTGGCAGTAGCTGTGGTTAAGATTCAGTGAGAGTCAGGCTGTGTTCAGACCGACATTATCATTGGCTCTGCTGAAAAAAAAACCCAGCAGGTGGATCAGCCATAGTTGAAGCCTTTTACTGCAACACAAAGTGACTGTGCTGGGCACTCACACATTCACAGTCAAATACTCTGGAAAGTGACGATAATACATTTCTAATGTTTACTCTTGATTGATACGACAAAATAAAAGTGAGTAGGTGGGCAGGGATGGGTCAAGTGGGCCAGCTGGTGAGAACCCAGAGGCTCCAACAGTTACACAGAAATCCCAGGTCTGGGATGAGAGAACAGAAGTGAAACAGAGCAACAGGTAAACAGAACCTTCCTGTAAAGAACAGCACTATAGGCCATCTGTGCAAGCAGCTGATTATGACCCATGACTGTGTTTTATTGTTAGACACCCTGTAGCAGACATAGAACATTGTGAGTGATAAAACCTGGAGGAGGTCAGGGCGGGTGGACAAGAGACCACAGCTGGTTCGCCATGGGAAATCAAAGTCAGTGATGTCTCCTATTTTTACTGATGCCAGAAGAAAAACGTCCTCAAATGTCAGTTTCATTTTCCAGAATTATCCCCTGAAGGCACCAAGTATTTACAAAAACAGCTACAGCTTCTTTTATTTATTTCTGTTACGCCCTTATTCAGCAGAGCTGTCTTCTTCCCACTGTGCCTCGAAGCACCAGCAGGAAGCAGGAAGCTTTTCATTACTACCTGGTTCCCGTAAAGAAATGACCCTGTAAATTGTGGGCTTTGTTAACAAGATAACTCTCCCAGCTGAGCTGTGCATGTGAGTGCCGGTGTTTGTGCAGCAGGAGAATGTTAATGTTACCTGTGACAGAGCAGACAGGAAAGGAGAAGCAGGCAGAGGGAGAGAAGAGCAGGGGCTAAAGGGCGGGGGTCGACAGGGCTCGCTAAATTAGGGACAAGAGGAAAGAAAGGATTTAGAAGGACGGGGGCCGGGCTGGGGCTCAATTAGCTCTAGAGCTTCAGTTCATCAGTCACCCATTCATTTACTAACAGGACCGTCTGCCAGCCCTCACACACTGTGTTATATTAAGCTAATGTCAACACAAGTGTAACACTAGAAAACTGGATTAGCAGTAGGGGAGCGGTGTTTCCCACAGACAGTTTATTGGGATGGCCCAGTCACAAAGATTTGCCTGGAATTTGTAAAATACAGCCTTGTTTGTTTTTACATGTCTTCTCTGATAAAGCCACTGTCCATGACCTGCTCAGCAGCAGACACACAGAGTCAGAGACCGGCTGGGGAACACAGCGGAGCGTTTAGTGGCTCCAGAGCCAGAGGTTTCCCTCAGGAGGTGGTGGAGACCAAACCCAGAAAACACAGAGGGAGGACTGGACTTTTACCAGTTATCATCCTATTATTCTGAGCTGCAGCGAGAGAACAAGAGTGTAAAAGCAGGAATCCAGTTGAAAATGAAAGACCTATGCAGAAAGCAAAGCAGTTACAATCATCATGTTTAACTCTCCCTCTGTTTGTCAGAAGCTCTGTTTTAAAACCAGGTGCATGGATAGTCTGGAGCAGAAAATAATTCTGTTCCTACTCTCTATTACTTTGTTTTAAAATCTTTTGTCCCTGTCAGTCTCCAACCCCAGGTTTTTGTTCCTAGCGGTCGAGGTGTTCAGTATTTCCTATGTTACAGCCCCCTCTAGTGGTGAAATATGTACTCGCACGTTCTAAGGTCACCTGGTGTGTAGATGAAATATTGGTTTGGATTAAATAGGTGCACTTAGTGGCTTCTTTGCTGAAAGTCAGGTGAGAATATCACCATCAGTCTGATGTCTGTACAATAAAATGAAGCCAGGAGTTTGTTGGTGCAGCTTAGCATGAAGAACATATCATGAATACATGATGTTTGGACAATCATGCAGCTGAGTTTTTGTACTGCTCCTGTTCAGTCTCTGCACTGGATGTACACAAATAATCACACCCTGATAGTCTCTCTCTCTCTCCCACGTGCACACACACACACACACACATGCTGCTGTGATACATACACATATTGAGGCCTGTATAAAGTAGAACACACCCAGGACAAATATGAATAAATGTTTTCTCATTCAGACACATTACTCTCCCATTGGTGAACGAGTGTAAGTCACAGGTGAGTAACCGCTGTAAGAATGTGGCAGATCAGGTTTAGGTCTTCTTCCTTGACTGCTTTGACACAGCTGAGTGAGGAAACTCTGGGAACTACAATCAATCAGTCACCGTCGTTCTGCTCTGACCCCGTGGAGCTTATTTTCTAAAGGATCACTTTTTATCCATCTGCAGCTTCTTGTCTTTCTTTGGATTCTTTGCTGCACCTCCTGCTGCGTGCGTTTGTGTCTGATTATTGGCAGCCTGTTTGGACTGTGAATGAGGAAACCTGGATCACAATGGCGGTGAACCTGAGCAAGAACGGTGCTGCACTGATGGCTGCTTATAAAGAAGTGGTGGACGGAAAGTCGGGCACAAACTGGTCAGTTACCGAACATTTAATCACTCAGAGAAAACTGTCCACACCTCTGCGCCATGCTACTCCTGTGACATCATGGTTTTTACACCTCTGTGTTTCAGGGCGCTGTTTACTTACGAAGGGAACAGTAATGACATTCGTCTGGCAGGAAAGGGAGGTGAGACCTGACTGATGTGCTGTAAACCTCACTGACAGCCACTTCAGCTCCACTTATGTTTGCCCAACTTCCACTTGTGTGTCACAGTTTAAGCAGCTCAAATGAGTACTGTCTGAACAGCTCTGCTTCTAATTGGACTTAGAAGTACAAAGGACCAGTTACCTGCCTGCACCCTTTTTAATTTGGTCAGAGAGACACGTGCAAAACAATGTGCACAACAAGTCTCTGCCATGTCACTGACACATGGCAGAGAAGAAGACTTCTGGCAACTTTCATGTAGTTAACGTGTCAGTGGTAAAGGTGCAGGTTGTGCGGCAAAGCTTCAGCTGCATTCTGGTGGAGCTGGTTTTACAGCAACGACTTTATATTCTGTTCATCCAACGTTTCCCAACCCGAGGGTCGGGCCCTCTAAAGAGTCACCAGATAAATCTCAGGGAAAAATAAACACATGATACACTGATTTAATTACATTTTCCAGTAATGTTGGGCACTTTGAATGTGTGTGTGTTGTGTAGATGGTGGCTTAGAGGAAATGGTGGAGGAACTGAACAGCGGGAAGGTGATGTACGCTTTCTGTCGTGTCCAGGACCCCAACTCTGGTCTGCCCAAATATGTCCTCATAAACTGGGTGAGACACACACACACACACACACTTTACATGACATAAAGAGTGGTGTGTCTTTACATGTGTGTTCATGTACATGCACAACAACAGACAGGTGAAGGTGTGAAGGACTCCCGAAAAGGAATGTGTGCCAACCACTTGAGCTCAATGACCAACTTCCTAAAGGTGAGTCTGACTGCTCGTAACACCCTCCTCTGTCGGGTCGCTCACCTGCTAGTGTGTGTGTGAGGGGTCAGCTCTGGGCACTGGGGAGACGAGTGACAGCAGAGCGGAGACACAGAGAAGGCTGGACAGAGACGTAGTCCAGAGAACAGGAACAGGAACAAGTGTAAAACCCCCTCGGTTTACCACATAATGTTAAAATCTCATCTCTGTATGGCCTTGTTTAATATCAACGAGATTCCCCCAGAACACAGCTTTGTCCTCTGTCCTTCTGTGTGGAACCTGACTATCACTGACACGGGTGTGAACGCAGGGAGCCCATGTGACTATAAACGCCCGGGGAGAGGAGGACGTGGAACCGGAGACCATCTTGGACAAAGTGGCCAAAGCCTCTGGAGCCAACTATAACTTCAACAAACAAACAGAGTATAGAGACGCACCCAGAGGCCCGGTGGTGAGAGACACAGCATCATGTGTAGCAGACGTATAAATGTAATTTATTGCTTCACTTCTCATCGTCTGCTGATTTTTCAGGGTTCTGTGTATCAGAAGGTCAACGCTGTGGAGGAGATTCAACAAACCAACAAGGACAACTTCTGGTTCCAAGCCCAGGTGTCGCTTCATATTTATCAGACACGTGTGCTGCTAATGAAGTCTGAGTATCTGAAGTTTTATTTAAAACAAATCATCTGTTGTGTCCAGAGGGACGAAAAGGTTCGTCAACAGGAGGAGAGCAAACGAGCGGAGCTGGAGAGACAGACGCTGGAGAGGGAGAGGAGGGAGCTGGATGAGAAGCAGGCGAAGGACAGGGAGAGTAAAGCAAAGGAGAGAGCTCTGCAGATCCAGCAGAACAGGTGAGTCGAACACACGAGGCTGGCTGTGTTTGAACACGTTGACTTTTATCAGTGCTACAGTTTTTTATATGTCAGGTTAAATTAACAGAAAACCTTGAACAAAGTCAAATGAGTCCACCAGAGGAGGACAGTAAGGCTGCAGCCAACAATTTGCTTCATTATCATCACATCTGACAACTATTTTCTTTAATAATCAACTGATTGATCAGTGTATAAAATGTTGGAAATAGTGAAAAATACCATTATTATTCCCTAAAGTCCACGTTTACATACTCAAACAGTTTTTCTGTCTGACCTACGTTTAAAAACTCAAAGATGAAACCAGCAGAGATTCAGAGAATATTTGGAATTTTTGCTTTAAAAATGACTTAATGAACTGTCCAAACTGGCGAATCCGTGAATCATCTGATTATTTAAGGTGTAGTGTAGTGATTGGTTTCTGTGGGTCTGGGGAAAATCGGGAGGTGTATACTGTCACCTGGGGACCGACAGCATGTTTTTGCCCCGGGGCCCTCGGGAGTTTAGCGCAGCCCTGCAGACACACAACAACACACAGAGTCACAGAATCAAAGCCAGTGATTTGTGTGTTTGTCTTTGCAAACAGGATTTATCAGAAGCAGAGAGAAGAGGAAGAGGAAAGAGAGCGAGAGCAGCAGCGACTGGTGAGCCGATCGCACAGGAGATGAAACTATACTTTATATTTTTGGCACAGAGCCAGCCCACCACGTCCTGTGTGTGTGTCACAGCCTGATGTCCCTCCTCCCTCTGGGCCACAGAGCTCCACCGTGTCTACACACCAGTAAACCCAGCAGTGACCACACTGTGGCACTGGCTGACGCGTTCCTCCGTCACTATGAACACACACTATTGTTTACTCTGACTCAGTCCCACACACACCATCCTGCTGCCACAGATACTCATTAGAGGCCGGAGGTGGATTCATCCGCTGCTGAAAATAGTCCCAGACAGATGCACTGTTTCCTGCTGCTGCCTGGCTGGACAGTGCACTGATTACACAACTAACACTGTGGCAAGCTACAGGTTCCACGTTAAGGCAGTTTAATGCCAACCTAGAGCAGTCTACCAATAACATCACATGTCTGTTTTAGAACCAGCAGGACAAAGAGAACAAGACGACAAACATCAGCTCTGCTCCGTCTGTGCAGAAAGCTAATGTGAGTACAACTGACGCACCAAGAGGTTCTCCATAAATCCATTAGGAAGCAGTGGCTTGGTTTTTATGAATGAAGTCTCACTGTTGTTCACAGGAGGCCAAGTCGCTGATTTCTCAGAGATCATTTAACCCCAGAGACATATTCATGCAGAAGGAGCAGAGCTTTGAGGCCGGTGACACACCCGCTGCATCCAGACCTGGTAACCCACTAGAATCCAGCATGAAGAACACCTGATGAAACATGGCATTAATGGTCTGACTGAAGTTTTCAATCTGTCTCTCAGGCAAGCTGCAGAGTCGATTTCTATCTCAGAATTCGGTGGAGAGAGAGTCCCCAGTGCAGCCACAGTATCCTCAAGCTTCAGCCAAGACCCCCCGGTCTCCTGTCACACCCATCTCCCCTGTGCTGTCTCACTCAGCTGCTGTAGCTGTTGCCCACACTCCGCCTGTTCAGTCTGCAGGTCAGACACATCAAGCTCCCTTTGCACTGCCTGTCTGGGATATTAGACATAACGATACAATCAGTCATGGCTGGTTCCTTTCCTTCTGCATGAGGTGTAGATGTGAGCATCACTAGTAGAGATGTGGGGTGGGAGAGAAGATGGATTCACATGAGGCAGCTTTCAGACTGTGTTAAAACAGCTCCGAGGGCTGTGTTTGTGTGGGGGTGCTGTTTCATTTACCAGTAAGACAATAGATTTACTGTATCTGTTCAGTAAATGTGTTTTGAATGGAGGCTTGCATGCATGTGATTGGTCAGTGCAGCACCTTACCAGATGTCACACTGCATAAGAAGCTGAATCAGATCCAACTTTCTTTTTTATCTGGTGACAATGTCCACACATGTCTGTCTGTGTCATGTGTCCACACAGGTGCTGCTTACACAGACGAGTGGTCAGACGAGTTTGATGACGATGAAGCTGCTGCAGGTATAACAAGTGTTAGCCAGCAGAGTCCAAGCAGGTTTACACTCAGAACATGTGAAGAACTTTTAAAATACGATCAAGGTCAAAGTGTTTATTGTCATATGCACAGTTAGGAAACGTGTTTCCTGTACAATGAAATTCTTACTTTGTCGTCCACATGAATGCCACAAAATACAAATGAAATATAAAGTAGATAAATAAGTAACACAAAATCTAAGGCACTTTAAGCAGCAAATGAAGAGATATAATAAAAATATAT